CTTTTCTTCCGTTTTGGCCGTTCTTCATTGACAGCATTTGGCTTGAAGAAGACAGAAGATGCAAAGTCAATGAAAAGATTTGAAGAACGTTGGAATCCAAGAGAGTAACAGAGAAAGACTCGGCCTCCTTGAATGATAAAAGGAGGTGATCCGAGAGCTAATGAAGAGGATTCAAAGAAGACTATTTGGAAAATGGAAAAGAAAGAGAGTGAAAATGAAAAAAAGCTACTCTTTGTAAGAAAACCCAAGAGATAAAACAGAAGGCATAATTTAGGGTGAGTATATATAAATTAATTGTAGATAATTAAATAAAATAAATAATAATAATAATAATAGATTATTAGTAATGAAAGAGACTCTTTTTGGAACCCCGTGGGAATCGTTCCTTTACAACCCATGGCAAAAATCAATAGGATCTTAAAGTAGATATTAAGGAAATACTAATTTATCATATTTCTCATGTATGAGGTAATTATTTGTTACACAACAGTAAATATAAACTTAATGAGTAAACATGCATTTCAAAAACTCCTACTTACGTGTAATTAATTGCTAACCAAAGTTTAGATGTATGCCACTTAATTTTTCTAATTAATTTTGAAACGCATAATTTTCATAATTAAATTTAAGTTTCTAAGGATAAACAAATATTTGATAAAGAAAAAAGATATTTCATTCAAAAACATAATTGATAAGCTAAAATTATGGATTTACATCATATGAAAAATAAAAAAAGAAAAAAAAAAAAGATCGTTGATGGGTGAGGGACGCAACTATTTTTATGATAAAATCAAATACATAACTTAAACTAGTTGGTATCTCCCAAAGGTAGCATTAATTCTTCTCATGAATACTAGGATTTGCTGCGAGTGCAGTGACTTGCACCGGAGGTGTTGCTTCTGCTGAAGATTTTGGTGTTTCTTGTGCAAGTTTAGAATTATTATCCACACTCTTTAGTTTATTCTTTCTCCACTCAATTTCCTTCATGTTTCGATTAATAATCCATCCAAGATCATCTAGATCTTTTAGTTCGAGATCTTTTATGCACCTGATTGAAAGACTTTTAAGCATTATCTGAGTTAACTCTTCTTCACGATTGCGTTTGACTTGTTTATCAAGTTTTTCTGTGATCTTGTGCAGCCTTTCTATGAGATAACTCTCTTGATTTAAAATCTTTTTCTTTTGCTCCGATTCAGGCATCATCTGGAACCTTGTAATCACATCTTGTGCTTTTGACGAAGAAGGCCAAACCTCAGGTTGAGAGCTATATTCACCATAGATGATAGCACAAGCTTCAACGTCGCACAATATGCTGAGTTCATTAACCTTCTTTATTAAGCCCTTACACCTTTTCTTATATGCCACTTTTCTTGCTTTGTCATTAACGATGTAAGCGATTTTTACGCTTTTTCTTACCATGATTAGAAAATTAAATAAACAACTAAATAAGCAATTGAAAGGCAAATAGAATTTGTCATGTCATTACTTGAAAGAAGCAAACCTACATATACTAGTAGGATTGGATAAGAAGATCACTGAAAATATCTCTTCAGATTTTTTTTTTTTTTATGATTATTCTAAGAACACTAATTTGTGTAATAATACTACCAATATTAATAGCACAATTTATTATGAATGGATACTTGAATTAATTATAAGTATTACTATTCTTTTAGTAGAAAATCTGAAAAAATCTTAGATTAATTATGAATGCAGATTTGAATTTCTATTAGAAAATTCAGTTCACATGTTTCTTTTGCTACAGATATGATACTTTATTCTTTTCATATTAAATAAATGCATGTATGTGTGTGTGTGTATATATATATATAAGTATGAACATATATCAGAATTTTCTTCTTAAAGAATTTTCAACTAATTTAAATCTTATTTTTTTAGCAGTACAAAATGAACTATATTAATATTACAGTTTAAATTTATATTTTAGATATGAATAGAAATATTTAACTGACTAAACTCTTACTGCTATACTGTAAATCCAAAAAATAGTAAAGCCCATGACCCAGTATCATTTAGGCAAAACAACACCATTTAGATAGTGCCCTTGGTTCTCTCTCCATGTTTTCATTGTGAGCAAAAGATAGAACGTGATTGGGAACAAGCATTGTATAGAGAGATAAATGTTGATGTCGAATCGAGCACCAAAGAGCGAGGAGGCAAGCAGGAGATAGAAGTTGATGAAGAATTGTGAAGTAGTGTTCGATGAGAAAGATGAGACTTTTAAAGGGAAGGTTCTAGGAAGAAAGTGAGGAAAAGGATTAGGTTAATGTTTGGTATATAGGAAAACAGAGAAGAAATAAGAGTTCGGGAATTGGATGCCACTAGTTAATTACGGTAAAATCTAGAGTTTCATTTTTCTATAATGTACAAAGTTTCAGTAAATTTTACTTCTTCTTAATCACTTTTCTTTTCATCCATTCCCTTTGCTTTGATATGATAATTTTTACTCCGTAATTAAATCCAGTATATATATTTGAATCTTGGGTGAACTTACAAATGGCTGCAAGGTTAGATAAATAATTTCTTCATTAATTACTTATTATATATTTATCAATTTATCTTATTAAAAATGTTTTTTAGAATATTCTTATAAATGAATAAAAATAAATTTCCTATTGATTTTCCTCATTGCACCCTTTGTTTATAGTTTTTTTAATTTTTTTTAAATTCAAGAAATTTTTGTTTCTTATTTATTTTAAATTATTTATTATATGAATATTTAAAAATCACAAGTAGATATTTATTGACTAAATTTAGTATTATAATAATAAAGTCCTTTATAAAAAAATAAAATGATATTTTATTTGAATTTTTTATTTGCAAAAATTTAAATTAAATTCTGTCATACATGAAAATAAATTACTTTAATAAAAGAAAATATATGTTATAATTTTAGTATAATGCCCACAACATACTTCGTACATATTAAATAATGTATTCAAAACCTTATACCCACAATAATATAAAAATATGGGGGGATTTTTCCTTTCCATTATATATCCACTTAATTAATTTTGATAGTGTTATGTTCTTTAAAGAATTTATCATACATATAACTCGAATGAATTTTTATATTCAATTTTTTTTTATGTTATTTAATGCACTTTGCAAAAAAAAAATTAGTTTTAATATGATGAGAAAAAAATAAAAGCTCAATTATATATAATTAATATATATAATAATTGATTATAAAATTGAGTTATAAAGATATTTTATATTTAATAAAAATAAAACTAATAGAATTGTAATGTTTATTGTTTGGTTAAATGAAAAAATAAAAAGAAATCTATTGTTGTTGAAAGTTAATGTGGAAACTTCTATTAAATATTTTATTCCCAATATATTTCCTTTAACTCTTATAAAATGAGTTATATGACTCATTTAATGATTATCGAGAGTCATCATATTATAAGGAAAAATGAAGATACTAATTTCCACACAAGAAAAAAACATAAAACAAATTATTTTGTGGATCAAAGTTCAATTATCAAAATTTTATGTGCACTTGAAAAGTTTGAAGGAAAAAAAAACATCAGATTGATTTAAAGAACAAGAAAGGAAAATGTATTTTTTTAATTTATCTATTTATTTAATTATACTAAAAAATTATATATTTTAAATATTAGATTTAACTAATGTGTCAATTGTACTAATTAATACAAGAATACCAAATAACATTAGTGTAATTATTTATTTATTCGAGTGATAAAAGTATCTTAAAGTTAGTTTCAGCATACATATGAAGCATTTAACAAGAGTTGAACTAAAGTAATTGAAGTAGGAAATACATCTCACTGCTAGTTGTACCAACACTTATCTAATATGTCTTTCAGCACCTATGTAGGACGTTCACTTTTCTATGTAGGATTGATTTAATGGCTTCCCTCCTTAACAAAAGTGTTAATGCAAGCCGGATATGAGAAAGTTGATAGTAAAATCTTCTCAATCAAACATATTGCCTAGCCATGTAAATATTTGTCTAAGTACCAGAATAAGCAACAAATGAGTTGTGTACACCAGAACATTCACACAGACTAATTGTTAGGATTCAATATCATATAGGCTCTTTTTTTCCTTTCTTCAGTAATACTGTAAAACACTCACCAATTCTGCTTACTTACCTTAATTCGAGATATGTTTCCTGTTTACTTTTGAGAAAATAATATATTTATTTAGAAAGCTATTTATGTAATGCAATAAATTTAAGTAAATAAAGTAAGTTTTTAAAATATTTAGATGTACTTCTCGGGGTGCCTGCATCAATGAGTCATAATCTTTATACTAATTTATGGTCCTGCACTTCTCTATGTAAAGACTAGTATTGTCTGAGTAAGACAACAACAATATTATAGGTAGAAAAAAAAATGAAGCTTGGTTATATCAATGTCGATTCTGCCATATTCAAGAAGAGGAAAATGTGTTTGATAAAAAAGGTTAGTGAACTAAGCACTCTTTGTGATGTTAAAA